TGGTAGAAAGAAGAATAATGGATCTTTTTTTCTGTGAAAATGTCACAAATTCTCTTCAAGGCAACACTTAATGCATTCCTGAAGTTACCTTTATGTTTTTTTTTTAAGTCTCTGCAATCCTAAGAATCAAGTCTTGGTATTATAAAAATGAGAATTTGTTAAAAGTGGTAAGTCTCCCTGTGGGATTGTGTCTGCCCGCTGCCAGAGCTGCTCTGCTCTCAGTTTTAACTGCAGGACAAACCACTCACCTTGTCTGTTTTCCTGTCCCACTCTCTGCATGTGTCTGTATTTTTGCTGTGTGTCAGTACTGGGCAAGGTGCCAACACACCTCCTGCTCCTACTTACTGCTTCTACTTCAGCCCCTCCTGACTTGGGAGAGACAGTTATTGTTTCTACATCAGCACTTAATGGCTCAGCTGGCTGCTTTTGGTCTACCCAACTTGTCAATGTCTGCCTCTTTTTTTGTCAGCCCCCTAGCTGCTGTGGGCCCATTGCCAGACATAGAGCTTTTAGCACTTTAGGTTCTCTTTCTCTTTTTCTCTGTCTTTGTCTGTCTACCTGCCCATTAGGGTTTGGTGATAGTGTACATCCTACTGTCAAGCAATCGTCATCACATATAAAACTGATCCCTAATGCATTAATACGTGCCAGGGACTGGTTTTCTAAAAACTAGTGGAACTTCTCACTCATGTCTGTAATGTGGAGTGGAGGTGTAATAACTAGAGTCAGTACACAGATTAAATGGCTGTTTTTTAGCAGAAGTCACAACCTTCTTCTCAATGTTGTAGTATGCTTCAGCGGATTGCCAGATATTATTAGTTATTTTCACACGGAGAGGAGACTCTCTGCCTTTCCCTGCTTCACCTTATAACATTTCCATGTTGCCATGTGAATGCCCTGGCATTATTTTTCATAAAAAAATTCCATAGCATCAGAAACGAAAATTGTGTTTTGTGAATGTAAGCTAATACAAACACTGTGCTTCATGTTTTAGAATGTAGATTTGCGTGGTCTAGTATCATAGGAAGACAACTTTCCCATACCATTCTTCAAAGCAGTGAGAGCAGGACATGTCGGAATGTGTAAAACATGCCTTTTAAGTCTACAGATGTCCCCACACACACACACACACACACACACACACACACACACACACATTGAGACATGTGCACGCCAACTTTTGAGGTATGCAGAAAGCAAAAAAGCAGCCTCCACATCCCATAATGCCCCATCAGAGTGTGTTTTCTCTTTTGTCTATTCATTCTTTCTTTTTCTTTCTTTTCCTCAGTTTTTCTTTACTGACTTTACATCCCCCCTTCCCTTCATATTTTCCACACCCTCCTCAATGTTCGGGATGGTAAATCCAGCTGCCCATGGTTGCCCTCATAGTGTTTGATGGAGTGCTGTAGCCTCTGGCCCCTAGCTGTGTAGTTATGTACTCCTTGCACCTGCCCTTGCTTGACAAGTAACAGCACCACACACATTCACTCACTCGGTCACTCAGTCACACACAGAAATGCACACACACACACACACACACATTCACACATGCCTGGCTGTAATACACACACTACATAATAATATACACATAAACCAAACCGAATACCACTGTTCAAGCCAACAAACTGCCAACCCTTTTGTTTTTCCTCTTCCTGTGCACCCCACTTTTTTTATAGTCCAACAGCTGGACAAAACATTGTCCAGAGCCCTCCCACCCAACAACCATCACCCCAGCAGGTGTTCTGTGCCCTTTAGGACATCTGTGTGGGCAAGAGGGATATGTTATAGTGATACCCCTAGTTCCATTTATCAAAGACCAACCGGAGTGGAGGGAATGGCCCCTGTCATGTTCCAGATTGGCTTGCACTCTTAACATCTCCATCTTATCCACAAAGAATGAAGGAATCAGGGGAACAGTCAGTCTGTGTGGAGGCATACTCATCACTGTTGCAATCATTTCTCCTTCAGTACTGTTTTTGAAAAAAGCCAAATGATCACTGGATCTTGTTATCCATTTTCCATTAAGGTAGATGGCTCAGGTGTTTTTAGGTTCACTGAGGCACAGCCATTAATATAGCCAAATCTCTGGTGCAGTCCTTTTATGGCAAATATATGTAAGCTGTATTGATTCCAGTGGGAGAAGAGAGCTTAGCTTTATGTAGTGCCTATGTCATTTTCTATCTGTCCTTCTGGTACTAGATTGCAACAAATAACCCAAATATCTGATGGTGTATACTTGTGTATCTGTATGTGCATGGGCTTGCACATCCACCACATTCCCATTGACTTGGGTCTCAAATGGGTCTCAGGCATTTGGACCCCACTGTACATGCTTCTTATTTTTTTGGTAAACAAAGAAGATGACGACTAAATTCATCTGAAGCATTGAGGAAATTAGAAAAAAAAATCGCTGGTGCTTTAACAATTTTCTTAAACAATAGGCTACACCATGGGCTTATTTTTGAGTTGATCAAAAGGGAACATGTATCGGTCTCTCCTCTGTACTTGTATATTCTTAAAAACAGCACACACGTAACAATCAAAGAGAGTGAAGGAGATCCATGTGGTCTTAATTCTTAAAAAGGCCTATACTTTTGGTTACTTTGATATTTATACATGCAACATATACAGTATATGTTTTCATGTAAAAATATCAAAGTAGCAATAGCAATGTTATTAGAATCTTTTTCCAGGAGAAGATTATCAATTGCTTGTTTGGGTTATGGGAGGAAATAATTCACATAGTGTTTCCACACATATAGAACATGTGTCCTATAGACAGAAGAAGCTGGAGGAGAAGCAGGTAACTAAAGCCACAGGGAGACATGCAACACCGATCCGTTTGACCTGCAGATATATTAAGTGGTAGGCACGGAGACAGAATGAGGGTTATTAACATTCCCATCTTGCATCTGGGCTGATAGAGGACCTCTCAGACAGCAGGTAAAGAAGTCGCTGGGTAATTTGTCTGAGAGAGGGATAGGAGGGAAATGAGTGGTTAGGGATTTTAGCAATTGCCAGTAATTCCCTTGGTTAAATGTGCTGTGTCTACTTGAATCTCACCCTATTCCACACTGCCTGCTGTTTTACATTAAAACTACATTTGAACTATTTAGTTGATTGGGATTAACAACTGCAAACAAAAGTTTGCTAATTTTGGTGTAAAACAACCTACCCAAGTCATCTTTATTCATGCAACATTTAGAGTTTGGATTACCTAAGCAAGTAAAAATTTAAACAGTAATGATTTCACTGAACAGACACAGAAAGGCAGAAGAAGACAAGGTGGGGTGAAGGTGGAGAAACAGGTAGTTGAGTAATAAGAAATGAAAGAAAAAATGTCAGAGAGGAAGTGGATGTGGATGAAAAGCCTTTAGATGTCCAGACCATAGTTTAAGGGACCGTCGCCAAATAATGACCTATTGTGCTTTCATAGCCTCTCAGGTAGCACCACTCATCTGTGCCTTATTAATGCAATGCCTTCTCACTCACCGGTAGGCAATAAATCTGCTGTAGCCAATAAATCTGTTTCAGTTGTTTTTTATCCATTCTCATGTATTTGTTTATGTTTAACATTTTTTCTTTTGAGTTTCTCTTTGCTGTTTGTTCTGCCTTTCTGCCTTGTTGATCCTAGTGTCACTGAGCCAGCATTTGACGGGAAAAGCCCCACTTAGTTGTAAACTCAGTCAAAGAGTGCTGTGGACACTTTTAGGAAATGAAGTGCTATCACTATAAGAGGGGATTATTCTGAGAAGTAAAGCCTTATTGGAACAGGTGATGTAAGAATTTAATGTGATTCCCTCGGACAGTTCCAGCTCACTGGAAGAATGTAACGTGATGGATGGATCCTCCTCTCCTCTCTCAACAGGCGGTTTGGCACAGAACTCCCTTTACTCCACAGTATCTTTCCGCCATCCAGTTATTTCTCCTTCCTCGTCCTGTTATGTGTTTGAAATAGCCTCTCACCATAGAAATAACATTGACATATCATAGTGGCGAGTATGTAATTCCCCTCACTCCTTACCACAGCACAAACAGTTTCATTTTGGAAAAATGGCAGACGAAAGGTTCCTCCACACTAGACTGCCATTAAGAGAAATAATCATAGAGTGAAGAGCACTTGAGGCTCCTGTGATGTAATGCTGGTGTTAGGTGAGTTGTAGTTGACACTAAGATGGATACTTGCATGACTGTATTGGATATTCTTTTGGAAAGATGTATCCTTTATATTGGCTTGTTACTCATACACCTAATAGTCCCTGTTATTTAACCTAAAATGTCCAAGTCATTCAACTCAGTAGATTTACTGGGAGCTTATAAAACATTTAGACAAAAACTTGACAATTTAAGGGGTTTTTATCTCTTTTAATATTCTTCCTGGGCATTTTTTAAAAACAACATGGCTGTGATGTCAGGACTTTTCCTGACATCACAGTAGTATCCAAAATCACATCATTATACTGTAAATGTGTTCAGAGGAATCTTTCTAAATCCAGATGAAGAAAATATACAAATAAGGTGGTTTTTCAGACCCTGTCAGCTTTTAGTCACAGGTGCAAGTGCACACAGAAAAAAAAAAAAAAAATCAGGGATTGCAAAGACTTGCTTAGATTTTTAGCAAAAGTGTAGGCATATGCTGATAAAGGTGTATCATGCCATTTCAGGTTTTAGCTTAGGTGGACTGTTAACCTATTTTCTTTTACAGCTTACAACAATATGCAGTTGTATTTTGATATATTTATTATGCTATACAGACATAACAACAGCTTAACCTTTAAAACAGAGGACACCAAAATCCTGCTAACACATCACCTGGTGTTAGTGACATCTGTGTATAAGAGCTCCTGGTTTCTCACAACTCCGGGAGAGAACGAAAGGGAAAGAAAGGGGTCAAGAATAATTAAAGGCCAATCAAGTGTTTAATGAAGCCACTGCAGCAGTGTTTACACCTGCTGGACTGCACTTCATTTTCACTTTGGTTTTTTTTTTTTTTTTATTAGGTGTGAAATCTCTGGGCCCGTCACCGACTCTCGAGGGCTCGGTCCAAAACCTGGAGCTGAAGTTCTGCAGCCGTGCGACGGTGAAATGCGCCTCAGGAACCATGGGAGCTGTAAAAGTGTGCGCCAGGACCCCAGGTGTGTGCAGCTGTGCCCTGTTAAAACTTTACTGCCTGTGTAGGAGGGAGAGAGTGAGACCGACTAGACTCTTCTTTTACTTTCTTTAACGTATACTTTTACACACCCAGCCTCTCTATCTTTTTTTCTCCTTCTCAATCTTTATCTTGATTTATTTCCCGCAGTGTGATTCAGTTGCTGTTTTCTCCTGGGGCACTGTCATTGGGCCCTGGCCATGTGCTTGATGGCAAGGATGTTATTGGAGCTAGTGTCAGCACAGAGTTCACAGGGTCAAACTTCAGACATGTCGTCAGGTAGATGATAAGATGTGTTGCAGCTGCCAATATAGAAATACATTGAAAAAGAAGTAAATTTTCTTATTTCAAAATTACTCATGTAGAGAGTTCATAAAATAATGTACACATAAGGAGTTTAACTTTTGAGGCAACTAAATCACCTCTGCAAACCAGTGGTTTTGTCAACCCAATTTACTGTACATGTCCTTCATATTTCTATTGGTCAGTTTTACAAGATTTTATACAAGTTCCACAACATTTAATATTCTATCATATTTTTCATCAATTTCATCTGCACACATGGAGGTGAGGGGTTAGACCCAAAAGAGTTGGTTGACAGACAAAATGCTGACAAATGCTGCAATTTGTTTTAACATTAGGTTACATTATAATCAAAAGCCTTTATAATGAAAATCTGAGTCACAAGCTGATTCTAATATTTTTTCTTTAATCCATGAAGCACTCAAGAAGGGGCTTGCTTTTATTCATTTATTTTTTACAGTTTAAAATAAGACTTTCTCTTTTGTCAATGTGAATAATTTTGAATGATTTTGGTAACTGGAAAATTGCATTACTTAGCCTTTGATTCTTGTCTCTCAGGTTTGGGAGATGGGGTGAAGGAGAAGCTGGTTCCTCTCATTCAGGGTCCATCTGACACCAAAGAACTCCATATGAGCCGCTGGCTTAATGAGATCCGCAAACCTGAATCTTTGCTCGCCCCTGACCTGCTGGCGTTTTCTGTTCTGATCCCTCAGCAAGAAGACAGTTGCAGGAACTCAGGTAGATGCCATTGAAATGCTCTCCTCTCCTTGTCCTTACTCAATCTGTTTTTTGTTTTTTTTTTAATCAAAATCCCACGTTGATATATCAATGTCTATTTTTAGCTATTTTTTAGTTGAGGTTCTATTTGGATTTGTGACAGACAGTGGTAGTCCATATTCCGTCTTGGTTGTTGGTGATCTAATGCCACAGTCTCGGTTTGTTTAGATCATCATATTTTCCTTCCTCCCATAATGTCACGCAGTGCCCCCTTTCACTTATTTGTTTAGTATAACTGATTGTTTAGTAAAGCCGATAAGTGTTTTCCAGTCCAGTATCCTTGAAGCAAGGTTGGCAACTTAGTGTCTCTTTACAGGCAGCATGAGTTCTCTAAACAGCAGTTAGTCTCTGTCAGCACTGGGCTGAGCTGGCTAACAGCAGCTAACCACTTGAGGATTGCTGTTGAAGGCTGCAGTGATGTCAGGTTGCAGTATGTGATTGCGTTCTTAGACCACAGATTATGTTTCTGGTGTCAGTGTGGGAGTGTGTGGGTGTATGCATGTGTGTTTAGAGGGAGGGAGTGGGATTATTCAGTAGCCCTGCTAAAAGACTAAAACTGCAATTCAGATTCCAAAGCTCAAAGTGTTATAGCACTTGATTTAGTAAGTTAGATATTTAATGACTACAACTCAGAGCATCTCATGTATCTAGAGCAGTAGCCAGGTTTGTCCTCATCTATTCAGAATGGTCTCCTGTGTTTTTTCAAGATGAAATTGCTCCTGTGGTGCTTTCTCCGGTGAATGAGGCCATGAATATCAGTATGTCATCACAGCATGTCATCATAACCTCTCCTCCCCACCTGCAACTGCAACTAGTTCTTCTAATGGGCAGCCCTACTGGGCTCCCAGGTTGATACCTTTGGAAGTAGATATACTTGACAGTCTTTCCTATTTTATGGCCTTCAGTTGCGCCCCAAGTCTCTGAAAGTCCACAAAAGGCGAGTCTCTCAAAGTACACTTGGGGCTGTTGTCCCACAACCCCTTCCTTCCCAACAGCAGATACAGGAGAAGCCTGGAGTGCTTATGTAAAACAATACACCTCCAGTACTTCCAGTACTTGTTTTTAGAGTTGTCTTCAGAGTCACAACTGTACATCACTTTTAATACAGGGCTGCAGAGATTCATCGTGTGGCCTTGACTTACGTAAACCCCCGAACTGAGCCCTGAATCATATCAGGCCTCTGCACTTTAAACATGTCAGTGCTGAGATGGAGATAGAGCTGGCCTCAGCTGGTTTCAGACTGTGAGGAGAAGATACAGCTGTAGCAGCTCTAGCTTTGGGTGTAGTGAAGTAAAAAGATAAGTACAGTTTAGAGACAGTAGATTTGGGAGGTCATCCCTAACCAGGAATTCCATTGCTGTTTAAATGTCACCCAGTCAATCATTGTCCCATTGCTAGTGAACACAGCGCCAAGACACTGCTATAAATTGAAAATGTAAGGCAGGGAAAAGCTTACATTTCATAGGCAACTCACAGTTTGATAAATGTGAGTACTTACAGAATAAATTTTCAGTATGTTGCAATGACATAGGAGTAGAAGATTTTAAAAGCAACGTTGTATTTCTGACAAGGGGTTGTTCCACCCTTTACAGTCTCAAAAACAGATATTTTTAGGAACTAGAAAATATTAGGAACTTAGAAATTCTACTAAGTGTACAGCCTCAGACTATTACTTTGATACAGAGAGCATATTATTTCACCAAAACAATGGCTCATAAAGACAGCACATATTTTTGAATATTAAGACCTGATCTGAACACAAACCAGAAGACCAAAAAGAAGTGAAAAGAGGACGAGAGACAAAGAAGATGAAGGTGAAAGGGAGGTGGGGGGGGCTGACTCCCAGAAGCACTGGATATATCTCCAGCAGATGTGGAGCAGTGGAGGCCTGCACTCCTTCTCATCACTGCCTCAGAACTCCCTTTTTTCCCTTTTTCTGTGTTTAATATTCTTTGTTTCTTGATTTTCTTTTACCCTGTCTGCAACTCTTTTGTCTCATAAACTTGTTGATTTCATTTAATATCAAATTAAGAATATGCTTTTTGTCTCTCCCTCTTTCCATTCTCTATCCACATGTCTCTGTTCCTTTGTTTATGAGTAGTCTGACAACAAATTCAGTTATCATTGGCTGGCTTTATCGTTGCATTGATAGATACAAAGGAACAAAACTGAGCATTAACTATTATGTATTTTCAGTTATATTTTAAACACACACACACACACACACACACACACACACACACACACACACACACACACACACACACACTGCCAGAAATCTTTCTTTTATCTACAATATACCTGTCAATGCAGTCATAGCTGGAGACAGCAGTGTGGCTTGACAAAAACAGTTTCACCAGACTGGAACTTCTCTCTCTCGTTCTCTTTCTGTGTATGCGTGTATGCGTGTGTGTGTGTGTGTGTGTGTGTGTGTGTGTGTGTGCTGAGGGAAAGTCTTGCAAAGTTAGTGTGTCTGCAGGCATTTTTTGGTGTCTACTTATAGGTCTGTATTTTGTATGGTGGTCAGACTTACATCAAAGCTTTTGGTCAGTCCACATGTCCCATGTCCCTGCTGTCAACCAGGGGGTGACTGGGAGCCTGTTAGAGCAGCTTTAATGGAATGATGGATGCACCACCTCATTTAGCCAGAGATGAAAAGTGGAGTAGCACCATTCTAAATGGGCTGCACCCTTTTCTCCCATAGGACTGACTCTGAGGTTCAAAATTTTGTGATCATGACATTTCTGAATTGTTGGAACTTCTGGCCTTGACATCAAACACATTTTGTTCGTCCCATGTGGCTCTGTTGATTCCATTTAGTACATTCGTAAAGCATGATCATTATACATGGAGCAAAAGACTGGGGTGGGGGCTGGGGGTGGGGGTGGGGGAGCTGACTCCTTACACCATAGACATACTGAAAACATTAAGATATAATGAGCCACAATCAACTTTTATATTCAATTTTACATTTGATAAGTCACTTCTGGTTTTTGTATAGAAGCAACGTAAAGTGCACCAGTGCTGTGGGATCTGCCCAATTGTCAAAGCAAAATATTTACTTAAATAATAAGGGGAGAGTGTATTGCCACCAGTATGTAGTCAGTGAAGTGTTTGAATATAGTATACTCACATGCCATGGTGCTTTCACATGAATATACCTTAATTTGTATTTTTGTGTTTTGGTGTATGTGATTGACTACTGTTGATTGTAAGTCTAGAGAGGCCCTGCCTTCAGTGTTTTTCCCACTGGTCATGTATGTATGATTTTTGTATTGTGTCATCTCTGTGACATTCTGCAAATAACAAGCAGTTTCCTTATGGATCCTTTAATCGATCTCAGAGGCCATTTCTCCATAGCTTACTTTTTCCCCTTCTACAGTTCAAAAGTCAATATTCTGAGGTCACTTCCAATACAATATATTTGGTTAAACAGTTAAATTCTGTACTAACGGCACAATTCTCCATGCAAGTGTACAAATCTTGTGTCTGGACTTCTTTCTATGATGCAGCTGTCTGCCGGAAATATTTTTAGAACAAACCTCAAAGCACACTGAGGAATGTTAATCTGCTCTGTGCTGAAATAATGATATTTTAAATAATTGAATGCATGGTCCGGCGTTTAATGTAACTTTGACACGTTTTAATTTACTCTCTGTCTTTCGCTCTTTCATGCAAAGTTAATTCACCAAGGAGATGAGTTGCTTTCAAATATGGCCAGTGACATCTGTTTTCTGTCTAATTGTTTACCAGTGAATTAAGACGAAATTCCAATTTACTTAGAAAATGAAGAGAGGGTTGAGTGGCTAAGGGTGGCGGTTGGAGGGAGTCCCTATACACTTGTAGAACTCCTGCAGATCCAGGCTAATGTGTTTTCATTTAACAGAGTTGAGGTTGGAACATTCTAATAAATTAAGCACAATTAAAGACGTGGGTTTTAACGCAGAAGAACTAAGCAGCTTTGCTTTGAAATGTCCTCTTTTGTAGATCCAAAGGCGTATGGTAATTTCATATCTTGCTGTTAACCCTTTGCATCACAACGCTACAGTCCCAGATGACTTCTCCTAATTAAACAATCATTCCAGATGGACCCAACAGTGATGAGATTTTTTGGCAGTTGCAAAGTGCCATGATAGCCAAATATTCTTCCCTTTTTGTAAGAACCAACCATGATTGATGTGTGTGCTGTGTTATGACACAATTTATAATGAGAAATCAATGCCATTATTAAATAACATGAGAAATAGGTTGAGAAATGGAGCAAGACACAGAAAAAGCAAGACAGCTGTAGGAGTGAGACTTGTGGAACTGAGGAAGTGAGGTAGTTGCTGCAATCCAGACTGGCAGGCTTGATCAGAAGGGCACAGGTTAGGCTTCCACATGGGCCCAGTTGACAGCCAGGTTATCCTTGGCTAAAACACACTGGGACTGGTGCCTTGACTGGTATTAGATCTATAAATTATTTGAGAATTTAATCAGAGTAGAGCTGTGCCTTAAGGATCACTCAGAGTAGAAATCCTTGGCCATGTCATTCATGCTACCCTGCGTGTAAATTATCAGTGCTACTCAAGAGACAGCTTGATCATTTTGATCCCTGGACAGTGGCTGGCTGGCTGACTATCCTCCTTGGCTTGGTCTCAGCCTGTCACTGCTGATGGATGGGAAAGACTAAGGGGGTCTTGGACGGGGCCAGTGTGAGGGAGTAGAGGACTAAAGGGTGTGTGAGGAGCTGGGGTTTATGCTGAACTTCAGTGCAAGCGGCAGCCTGCAGGTGTTCCTCCCACCCTCCACCACCATGACTTGCACCAAAGGAGGAGGGACCAACGGGTCGGGTGGGCTTCATGATCATAGAAAAGACAAAAAGAGAGGGAGAATAAGGGATAGCATGTGTTTTCTCCAGGCACGCCAGCAGCTGCGAGACAATGATTTATGCTTTTCTCAGAGCTCTGGGATCTCAAAAT